AGACGGACGGAATGAAATCCTTATCTTAAGATCTCCATGCTTCCTGCTGGTGGTGTGTATGAGACTCCCCTGCGGCTCAACCAAGCTGAACCTCATTGTACCACTCTGCAAAATGGAGAGGGAAAGACATGCAGAGAGACGGCACAGGAGGAGTTAGGCTCTCCCGACACCAAGTGCGGGGCACTTGGCGGGCGCTGGACCACAGAGCAGAGACTCTGAATAACTGTGCTGTCTCGCTCCCCTCCATGGCTTCTTGCTGGTCCTACCCACAGGAGGCTTCAACCCCCATGATCTTCCTCCTGCCTCTTGGAGTCCCAGAGTCATAAAAAATCCCCGAACTCATGAGACAGATGTGCCCTGGAGATCACCTGCTCACCTCCACTTTGAAGCCAGAAATGCGGCTTTTCAAGTCCCGGCTCGCTTGGGTCACCCTAGTGTCAACTCTCAGATGCCAGGGAGACTTCAGGCACTCAGTAGAAAGCGAGGTGGCTGGAGGAGGCCCCAGGAGCTCCTATCCATTCTATTCTGGTCTAATCTCACTACCTAGGTTTTTCTTTATGACTCATTCTGTTTGTTCATTTCCTGTTTTGAGAACAAACCCGAGTGCATCTCATATATCTGCTTAATGGCCCTCTTGGCTCCCCGGGGCACTAAGGAAAAGAGGGATGTGTGTGTCCAGCCACACAGATGTCCCTCTACCTGGGTTTATACAGAGGAATTCGTATACTTATGTTGGTATAAATGTGCTTCTATCTTAAGTTTATATGTCGTCACCAGCTAACTGTCAGTCCCTGGAAGGAAAGAGGAAAGACTGACATCCCCTTCTCGGGACATCGGTGCCTGGGAAGGAATGCGTTTCTCAATCAACGCTGGGAACGGAGGCTGATGGTTGCCAAAAAGTACCTGTGAGCACTGTTTCTAGACTACTGAGAGCCACAGATGCCAAGATGCTCCCCTGCATTCCAGAAAGCACCCAGCAGCCAGACAGGGGAGGCAGGCAAGGCCTTGCGGAGACTGTGCAGCCCTGCAGGCACGGGATCAGCTGCCCTTTTTCCTAGGGAAATGCCTGGCAGGCTTCATGCAAGAGGTTCCCCCAGTAACCAAACACTCACTCAAAGGTTATATTTACACAGCTCATTAGGAAAATTTTTTTATACTTTTGACACTCATTAGAGCCGTAATCGTCCACTGAAGCTCCTCTATAACAAGAGATAAACACTCCATTCTAAAGGATGAATAATAATTAGGTACTTCTTGGCACCGTGCTCTTTACAGGTCTAATTTTAGAGCATAATTAATCCTGCTGAAGTTGCATAAGATAAGTGAAATATTTATGCAGCTGTGTTAATTCATGTATTTACTCCTAGAGAGACATTCAGAATTGGACAWGGCTTTCCGGGCAGATTATCTTAAGACGCCCCCCAGAGCAACGTCATTTTCTCTGCCCTGTCTTTGCCTCCAGATGGCCTCGGAGGATGAAGCTTTAGAAAGATGAACATTTCCCAACCCTGGCAGGATGACCAGGAAAGCAATGAGGCAGGACGTAAAATATCGACAGGAACCAAGATGCTCTGTTAAGTAAGCATCTGTAAGAGGCGGCAATGAAGGCACTTCCTGCTCAGCACCAGGAAGGCGGTCCCCTGGTACAGACTGGCACTGTTTTTGCCACTGCAATACTTAATAAGCTGTGCTGAACGCAGGAGTTGTGCAGGGACAGTGATGGTGCTGATGGGCAGGAGGCGTGTGGGGTGAGACGGAGGACGGTGCTGATGGTGGTGAAGATGATGGTGATGATATTGTGATGATGATGGTGATGGTG